CAGTAGTGAAAATGCCGGGTACTCGACAGGAGGCCCGTAGCGCGACAAGAAGGAAGAGACGCAGACGGTTGGCGGACGAGTCGCAGCGTGTATTGCGCGATGTGGGGCGTAATACAGTGCATTCTATTAACTTGAGGCTAATAGTACCGCAGGGTGAATATCGGTCGAGGATTCCTCAACGGCACGTCGAGGATTTTCGCCTGATCAGTTACGTTCTCCCGCGCGGACATTCACACTCGCCATGCGCGAGCCGTCTGTGCTCTCCGCGCGTTCACTCTCGGCACTACTCTCGCACGTACAGAGCCATGGTCGAGGATTTCCTCGAACCGTTATTCTCCCTGGTACATACACGCTGCAATTCGTCCGCTGACCCATTTCGTAGTTTGCATTTCTGCCTTCTCACCGCGTGACGGGCCTCTTGTCGGGTACCCAAAAATGCCGATAATGCGCTTCGATAGTTGCTTCGCAAGTGTATTTGCGGTAGCCGTGATCGGGATCACCTCCTGCTTCACATCTGTCTCTGGCGAACACAAAAAACGAAAAAGGAGTAGAGGACAGTACCGTAATCGCTATCGAACGGATGTGCTGTTGTTTCGGGATACGGCTCGGGTCCTGCGTGATATGCGTCTTCCTCGTCTTCGTAGCTAGCCTGCAGCGTCTGGATATCGATTAGACAAGGAGGATAAAAAGAGAAAGGGACAGAGACAGACATAAAGAAACGAAACACGTACACGTACACACACCACGAAAAAACTATCCCAAAAATCATGAAAATCAAATCAATATTCATCGTTTCAATTGCGTTTCATTGATCAGCACGTAACAGACCGCTAAATTGAGTAATCTATTCGTTCACCTGATCACATTACAATTTGGTACCACCCTTGCTCCGCAACCCAGAGAGATGTAGGACTTCCCCACCTTAGGTGAGATCCGATCTAGGGAACAACCCTAAGACCGTGTCGTCGTGAGCGCACCACTTACCACTACAACCACGTCTTCCAAAAATTGGCCACCATAAATATAACGACTATCGCTCTCAAAAGAATTAGATGTTAGTGGGATACGTTCAGGCGTCTTTGGTTCTGCACCTCGGCACACCATTTTTTGAACTTTCTAAAGGTACTACGTAGGTGGTGAAACATTTGCTGAAGCAGACTAAGCTTCGACTGACTTGTCGGATACCAAAGATTGGGGTTTCACCGTTAAAGCGGAGAAAGCCACATCTTACCACTTCTGAGTAATTAAAAAGTCAGTGATAACAAAGACAAAAAAGGAAACGGATGCCATAATTATAGAAAGATGACACCCGCTTGAAGGTGAGCAATTGAGAAACAGCAGCGTTTTCTGAACAACTGCCTGCGTTCACCGCGGAGGTTCTGCGTCACCTCCCACGCCCAAAGTTCAGAATCTAATTAGGCAGAAAGGGGGAGGGCGGGGGGGTGTCCGCCCGAGTCGCAGGCAAAAACAATTTCGCTAATACATATTCTCTCTATAGAATCATTCAAATGGCGTTGTTTGTTGCGCGCATGAAAGCCAGTTTTCAATGGGACCAGGTAAAGAGAGTGCAAATTCCGATGAATCGTCGTCGCAGCGAAAGGCAGTCATCGTGATGGCTGGCGCAGTGAAAGGCAGTCATCGCGATGGCTGGAGGGTGTTGCGATTTTGATGACGTCACTGAACGCCATTTTTATCTAGGCCCCTTAGCGCGCGTTGTAGTGTTGTTGGGCTCCCAACCAGGGTCAACCCTAGGTTGGTACAAGTACCAACGGGGGGGGGGGTCGTACTTGTTTCGGTAGCACGAAATTACATGTGATGAGGTGAGAGCGGAGAAAATTTGCCGTTTCAGCCCCCCTCCCCTCCCCCTCCCCCCTCGACGGTGTTTTTCGAGGGAAAAATAAGTTGTGAAGAAGGGGGTCGTATGAAATCTGTTGTGAAGGAGGGGGTCGTAAAAATTTTGCAAAAAGTCCCAACGTGCTCCCAACGCCCGTCCAGTAATGACTTCTTTAAACGATATTAGAACCTAACACTCTCTAGCTATCGTGATCACTGCCTTTAAGTTTTCCGCTTTCTACTGAAAGTGAAGAGCTCATGCAGGTGAATTCCCCACCAGGATGTGTCATTCGACCTCTGTCGGAGTCGTGAAGTTTCATGCTCATTCCGTGTATACAGTGACTTGTATTCCTAATATGCGACAAGGCTCTCATCACCCAAATGTGCCTGTTACCAGTTGAACAACCTATGAGGGGATGTTAGATTATAGTTACTTAATCAAGATTCGATCCACCATTTGTACGCCTGGCAGTGGTATTAGTTCCCTCGTTTCACTTTTCATTTCATTCGTTTCGTAGGACTCATCGGAGGGGACATTGGAAGGCGGTCTGAGTACATCTTTCAGTGTGTTCGGGGATGTGGTCGGGCCACCTCCTAGCTCTCTCCCCCCCATTACGTCTAAAACGTAGCTCAGTTTTTCAATTATTCCCCTCACTGCCTTTGAAGACGGCAAATTAGGACGACTATGAGTTGTTCCTGTAGCACACAGGCCAAGAACTAACAAACAACGGTCCGTTCTGCGTGTAACTCGGCATCCTTTTATTTAATTTTTTTTTCAAAGATGTCATTATTCCTTCAACAACCACACTACTAGTAGTAATTGGTGCACTGTTTTCCGGCAAAGGTAATTCATGCAGACAGTTTTGGAAAACGAGGAATGCTAAATAAATTAAACAGAGTGAGCCTGATTCCCGTGAAAATCCGACACGCATGAGTTGGATTGTGAAAAGCCTTTCATTCTCTCTATATAAAAAGATCATCTTTTTGGAAACATTACTAGTCACCAAAAAGGATGTATATGGTACATATGGCTTCGCCGTATGAAGATTGAAACAATTGACTATGGCTGATTAAAAGATAAAGGATAAAGCATTTGCCGTTGATCAATCCCTTTTTGGGATGCGGCACGCATTCTACTTCCATTTGTACATTCGTAGTGGCGTTTGAATGCGATGTGGCCTATACAATGACTTGCGGGGGCCAGCCGATGTACAAGTCAGTGTTTTTATCCTCCCAGACAAGTCTGGTACCAATTAACCGACCCCGGAGGGATGGAAGGCTTGGTTGGCCCGGGCGACTCACGACCCAGGATTTGATCCCCGGACCGCTCGCGTGGTAAGCGTGCCACTTGCCACTACACCACTTCCGCCCTACATGTTGAATAAACGTAATTTGTAGTCAAGTTGTGTTTCCATTTCTGTGAGACACACACCTACAGTGACAAGCACTACCGACGCCACAAGCATGCATCACAGAGTTCCCATAGAAGAGAAAAAACAACAAATCAATAAACAACCAAACCAACAAGAAAAGCTTACTGTGTCTTTCTGATGATGTCGATACCTATGCGGGTGCAGGTGCGAATCCCATTGATGGGCCGAGCTATTCGGTTGATGAATGGGAAACGAAAACGTCGGACGTGTAGTCGCTATCCTCGGATATACCAGCTGAAGTAAGAATCGAATAATTACGGAAGGCTTCTAGCACAACAATCACAAAATTATCGCAAATGCTGACAAATATAAATGACCCAAATCCTTGAACATTCCCTTCAAAAGTACGCCACGCATTTGGCTTTCAATCACAATGCGACTGGATTTCCAAGCTTGCAAAGTCGACGATGTACGTGAAAGAATGTTTTTTGCGTGCTCGACGATAAGAATCTAACATCAAATACGCCAATCAAAGCTTGGCCAGCCGCCACGGGATTCAATGCCGCTGTGTGTGGAGGGGTGCTTTTACGAATAAATATTGCACATCCCGCCCCGATGCAAAAAGCCTTCAAAGACGCCTTCTTAGCGATCGCAGATTCCAGGATTAACATAATTCCACGTTTTTAAGGTAATCTATGCAAGATTGGGCCTAGTTGGTAGACTGATCAGAGCAATCAAAATGTGGAACAATATCATTATTGAAAAAGCTATTATGAATCGCTGTTATCCTCAAAAGCACACGTTCCACAATAGCAAAGGCTGCCCAATGAAGAAATGGCAAAGGATACAGCCAAAAAGCCCTAGTTGAAAATGGTTTTTGGCAGCTCATTTCGAGCGTTCTAGGAGCTCGCGTTGGGAAAAGACAAGGACAAGGACGAGAGACGGGACGAGAATTTTAAAAAATCTTGGGGTACTGTGGGATTACTGTAGTCACTGTATAAGTTCCGCCCACTGCAGCGCAAGCTCCGCCCACTTTTATTTTCATAGAAGACAGGACGAGAGACCATGCGCGTAAGAAACGACCGACGACAGACATTAAGGCAACCGCTAAGGCCCATGTCAGACTGTGCAAATCGAGCAATTCGTTCCTAGCGACTCGCTAGCGACCAAGGTCGCGTTGCGTGCAGAGAATGGCTCGATTCGCACGCGACACGATCGCGGACGCTAGCAAATCGCTCGATTCGCAAAGTCTGGCATAGCCTGATAGCGCTCACCTAAATATAATAGAATTGAGAGGAATTGAAATAAGATGTCTAAGGCGGTACTTCAGCGCAGCTGGCACAACTTAAGGTGAATGCTTGCTCAAGAGAGATCCTCCTCGCTTTTTACTTCGATTCTGCCTATTCGTGGACAAATAGAAGTATAAGTGGGTCACTTGATGGAGGATGAGATGACTGGTAATTGAACTGGATTACGAGCCTTATTTTCAGCAATAAATAACCATAACATGACAACATGCACAATTCTTCATGTAACACAAATAAGCAAAATCATGAAGGCAAGTAATAAATATAGATTCAACCAAAAACAAAAACACCTTAACACTCACAATGTGTGAAAGGTACACGCTGATGGTTGCCCAGCACCCCTTGATCCTGAATCGAATTGCATAATCAAAACAAATTAAAAAATTGATTAAAAATAGTCATAACAGTTCAAGAAAAGGTACACTAACGTTGTCAATCAATCGATTCAGTTCCTGCAGTTTGGCCTGTAGATCTTCTCCATCCTCTGCTTGAGCATCTACAAACAAAACGATTATTCTTGTTAAAAATCACCTATGGCACAACTTATCCACTATGCGAGATTCACATAATTAATATGGAAAATTATGACAAAGAATAATAAATATTGGGAAATTATGAAATAAATCTATGCAAAAGGTAGAATTTTGGCAGGAAAGCCCGACTCGAGAATAATGTAAATCTTAGAACGAGGTGACGTTGTACACACTTTCATAACGCGTGGGACAATTGATCGTATTGTAGTGCGCCACACGCTATGCACTTTATCAGGAAGACGACTCCTTCGGGTTTTTATATATTTACGTAGATACAGCTACGAATGACGAGATTGAGAAAATATTCAGATAGCGCCATGTTTAGCTTCGTCTAGCTTTTTCCTTTCTTCAGTTTTTTGCCACACTCCTGAAGCGCGCCTATCCCCATGTGGCCAAAGACAGCATAATGGCTCGTTTCCATCACAGGAACAGATTATATGGACAGCTCAGATACTCGTGCTGCTTCCTTCTTCCAATTTTTCAGGGCATTCGAAATCATTTTTCAAAACCGACTCTCATCACTCATTGTCCGAATCTGAGCTGAGTGGATGGCGCTCCCTCGGGGATTTGGCATATGTATGAAACAAACGGTACGTATCCTACCATATAGAATCTGCTGGACATTACGTGTTTTGTTATTGCGTTTGCATGTGTGTGTCCGTCTTTCTGACCGGATATTTATATTTAATTTACAAATTCGCTCGTTGGTATTTAAATAAACAAATTAACAATAAGTATTATTGGCTGAAGTGTGGCAGCGGCGAGTGGTATCTCAATCGCAGATATGGTCTTTAGTTCAGAACTTAACTTCGTTCGAGCATAAGCCTTCGTGGAGGGTTCGCATGGACTGGCACAACGGGATGCTGTGGCAAAATACGCATTCAGATATCACAGCAATTTTTGATAGAAATAGAATGCGATAATTTAATAATAAAACAATACATATAGTAATATAATATGTATAATGGTGAGTTATGAAATGAATCCAAAAGAAGGAAAAAGAGACTGATCAAAGATAAAGTTTGTCGGTTCAAAAGAACAGATGAAGGATCGAGTGCTCGGCGACAAGAACTGAAGATGCGCTAGCGCTTCGCAGTTGCATTTTCCACTTGAATGTAGGGATCTAGGTGCTATCGCGAGATTCGCGGACATCCTCTATGGGCTGTGCCTAGGGAGGGGCAGGAAACCATGACAAATTAAGATTGCTCAGGTTACCTGAAGTACCTCTTCCCGGCTTAGGATTACTCTCAGGTTCAACAAAAAAGAGGTGTTTTAAGTGGTTTCAAGTACAATGCCACCACAATGTTATACCCACATGTTGCGATAGCGCTGGCATCTATTTTATGATTGACGCTCTCAACCAATTTTCAAGCCTCCCACTCCTTCGGGACCAATCTGTTACCAATTAGCCGGCCCCGAGCGAACGATGGCATTGCTGGGTTCGAGTAAAGCTCAAGCGACTTTTTTCTTAGAAGTCATCTAATATTTGCAGTCCACGGAAAACATGAGAGGGTCGACCTTCCGCCTCCCTTAATGGAAGGATTCTGCCGGAAAGAATGTCCTTTTCATGCCACTTATTAGGATCGAAATACTCCAGTCGTGAATATTCTCACGGCAGAATTGCTCGGAACCTACACAAAACATTCACGAGTTAGCCTTACTCATATCGCAACGGATAAGTACGATTTTCAATTTGCGATACTTGGCGATTCAGAGGAAATTAATAATTTTCACAAGAATGCTGGGTTGTGAACAAAACTTTCGCCCCAGACGGGACTCGAACCCGCACCTCTCGCTTACCGGGCAAGTGCATGAAAAGCTGAGTTGGATGAAATGGTGCCCCGGTAGCGTAACTGGTAGCGCACTTGCCCGGAAAGCGAGAGGTGCGGGTTCTAGTCCCGCCTGGGGCGAAAGTTTTGTTCACAACCCAGCATTCTTGTGAAACATTCGCAAGGCGAACTGCGGCCAAAAACAGCAGTTAACAAACAAAAACAAGTCAAAAATTGAATAATATTGATACAACAATGAAACCAGCCGTTTGAAGGAACTAATCGATAGCAAATGAAAGCAACCTTCTAGCTTAGTCATGAGAAAAGAAGAAAAGAAAAAGAAAAGAAAAGGAAAAAGTGTGAAAAATGGAAGACAATGAGACTTCACAGGAGCCGAATGGATGTGCCTGGCACGGTAAAAAAGAAAAGAGAAGAAAACCGATAGGGCTTGGTCGGTAGTTTTGCGAAAAAGCAGTACGTGACACAGCAAGCCAAGTGGCATCCGGACCCAATGACACACTGAATCAACAACTTTTCTCGAAAATTTCACTCAACTTAGATTGAATGCAAATGGACGTAATCTATAACAGTATAAGAAGCCCTCAAATCGGAATTATTCCCTGTACAAATCTTCAAGTCGGACGATCCACTAGAACCTCGTACAATTCCTTGGATTCCCCTGGGAAGTACCATACGACACCTCATCCTCCCTCCAATATTTTACCAAACTATTTCACACATTGCAACCCCACGCCTACAATCCCCTGCCTAAATCTCCGAATACGACCCCTGTTTTACAAAAATATTAATAAACAAGTATCCTCCTTAACAAAATGGACGGTTTATTCCTGCTTCAAAAACCCATATTGAGAAGAATTCGAATCTTAAGGATTCTAAAAAAATCAGTTCCAATACATTTATTGCGGCAATGGAACAAGGCATTCATGAACCTGAAAATCACGGCGAAGAAATCGTTAAAATAACAGAAAAAAGAACATTAAATATGAAAAGCTCTTTGTTTTATGGCGCAAAACTACCATATGCTTGAAATTTTGCGCTGAACGGCAGCGGTTACGATGAATGACTGGTATAAATCTCAAGCAGCTTGATGGAGAATGTGAAGGCAAATGAAAGATTGAGTCCGATTTAGCCCTGAGGCATGATATTGGGTTGAGCTTCTCAAAGCGTCGTTATAAAACCCCCAGCAGAAGGAATTTGAAAAAAACCGAGTTTTGTTCCCAACAGTTCACAGCATCAGTTCGACCACACACCTTCCTATGCAGTATTCTAGATTAGTCCCTACACCTGGCAGCTCCATTGGCCATCAAAGAGGACAAGGAAGCTACCATGTAACAAAGACCACTGCGGATAATAACTATAATACATTTATGAATAATAATAAAATAGCCTCTCACGGATAAAAAGCAAGGTTATAAATCGCGAAGGCGCGCCAGAGATAGGGCGGCCTTAATATGGGCCTGTTAAGGTCTCACGATCGATCCCAGTCCAAGACCAACTAAGCGTTCACTTAACGAGACCAGTACGTGAATCAAAACTAATCTGAAAGGATAAGGACACCACCATGAACATCGGTCAGCTTCCACAAGTCATCATATGAGAAAAATACGCGCTGTGATGCTTCTTTATAGGCTTAGAAGGAAGATAAATGCAGGTAATATACCAAAGGAATTGACTAACGCCGAGCGCTTTAGCCTTTTTTCATGCACGTCGCTATGGTCGCGAAGAGAAGATATTCAACTGAAAGCAGAATGCTGGCGCCGGACATCCGTTGAAAAAGTCGGGCCTTTGTTCACAATTGCGCCAAGCGCCTTCATGCTGCTGCTTCTAGTCCCCCTCATACGCACATATGACCGATTAAGGAGTCCACAAAACATATGGACTCAATGAAATCGACAATATCTCCAAATATGTTTAGCTGACGGGTATTGATTTTGGTGCGTAAAAAATGCATGAACGGATGGCAGATGCACAAATTGGCGTCGTGCCAAACATCAATCGAGTTATGTTCGCGCGGTTGGCTGCAGACAACGTTGTCGAAGTGTCGACGACAAGCCCCTCCTCATGTTGGTGTGTGTGAGTGAGGGTGTCAGACAGGCGCAGACGTATTGAGAAGCGTCGCTAGAGAGAAGAGGGAATTTTCACTCGTCTAACGACGACCGAGATCAATTTTCCGCTTGTCCGAATGCGTAAATTCAGTAATGCAAAGAAGTGCTCCCTGAGGGAAATCAACGGAAGTGTCAGGATTTCCCAAGGAAAAACAATACGCATAAGTAACAGAAAACCTCGATCTTCAAACTAATAGGACAGCACATTCAACTTATTAACTTCTTTTGAAAAAGGGGAAAGGGATTACCCTCACCAGCCCAACAATAATAACACATAATATTATATTATTTAAAAAAATGAAAAAGGATAGAGCTCTTAGCACTGGTCAAAAAATGCAATTTTTGAAGACGATCACGGCTGAAATGTGATCGCCGTCAATTAAATTCTTCTAAGGATGCGCCATGCGTTCCACTCCCATCCTAACTCATAAGAGCATTTAACCTCCTTTTCGAAAAACGAGAAGTGTGTCGGGTGCAGACCATACACCACAAGTGACGACGGCCTCCAAGTAAATCTGGTTAGTAGTGGTTCATAGTGATAGCTGATTTTTGGTAAATGATAGTTGTAATTAGTGACAACTGATAGAATACAACTGCAACAGGCTAATCATTTCATTGGCAGAAAACATTTACATTTTGTGGAGGCCGTCGTCACTTGTGGTGTATGGTCTGCACCCGACGCTTTCTCGTTTTTTGAAAGGGAGGGTATTGTGTATGACCTACGTTTCTGGAGGACCAGCAATGTTCAACGTTGAATAACTTGTATTGTGACAGGAACCACCCAATTGTCCAACTACTGAAGGTACAGGGAATGTATGCCGAGCCACCCTTTGCTCGGAATTTGACCTTGAACACTTGAGCATGGCATCCCAGCGACACTTAACCTACCCTAACACCGCCAGAAGTAATTGATTGAAATATGCAAATTAGTTGGACTAATAATGTGGATCAATGACACTTCTAGTTGGTGGGGACAACTGATGTGACCAAGCACGGGGGATGCACTGTGGTTGATCAGAGTACGTAATGGTTCAAATTTCTACGCTTTCAGACTGAGGCTTGGCAGTATCTGCTCTATTTTGCCGTGAGCAGAACTCAGGTGGCATAAAAATTCATGAAAATTTCTGGAAAGCTCTGGGAAGAGTTTAACATTATTACGTGTCCATGCTTGCGGTTTGCGGTGAACCGCGTGACTCGGAAGCCACTGAACGGATAGTTTCAATTCCGACCCAGGATGTCGCTGAAGCTCCGCCACCGGAGGCGTCCAGCGTATTCTGGACGAGAGCTGGTTATATTGATGACCCACGGTCAAAAATTTATCCTAAGAATGGAGATGATCGCCAACGATGGTAAACGCGGAATCTGCTGTGGCCAGCACCACGTCTATCAGTACATGTGAAGTAGGGTACGCGATTCGATGTCACTGGAGTACACTCGTCTGGGTAAGATGTGTCTCACAATGTGGTCAGTGCGACAATCTCAGTCGGCCACTCTCACTAGGTATTATGTAGGTATTGACTACGGACTGTCCTATTCACCCATTCGTGGAGCAGGACAAACTGAAGGTCCGTGCGCCAAAACCATAGCGAAAAAAAAACGGTTATTTGATATCGCCAAGGAATTAAAAATGCTAAAACGCAGAAACGCTTGATAACTCATCCTACTATATTATAAAGCGCTAACTTTGTGTGTCGGTTTGTGTATCTGTATGTGTGTGTGTGTGTGTGTGTGTGTGTGTGAGTGTGTGTGTGTATGTATGTATGTGTGTGTCCGTCCGCAAAATGAAGTGAGTGAGAAGGAAGCTCATGGGATAAACAAACCGCTAACAAATCGGGTAGCTTACAGGATTTGAGATATCAATGTTTTGTAGCAGGATAGTTGTGATAACACTCTCAGGGCTATATAAACACCTGCTTAGCACACTTCCGTTCATTCCACATGGTGCTGCAGTGGCAGCTGGAGGGCAGTGGAGAGAGGAAGGGAGGATGAGGAAGGGAAGCGAAAAATCTACCGTCATATCATGATTGTGTCCCTTCTACTGTATGAAACACCATTGTGTTGCATACGCGTCACTTCCAGGAGGTGTTGGTGTCACAGGAGGAAGGGACCATAGCGGAGGATAGAAAGCTTGCGCAGGAAAGGAAGGTCCCGGCGGTTGACGGGGGACTAATCTGGTATAAAATATATAATTTCGTAAAGCTACCCTGTTGGATCTACATAAGCTTGAGACAATACAGGAAGAGTATTGAAAGAGTCCCTTGTGTCTGGAAAGTGCTCAAAGCGCCGTAGTCGCGTGGCAGAACTTTCAGAGAACCGTGAAATCTCGAGCAAGCCTTTACTTCCAAAGTCGATCAGCGCACAAATCCGTCGAGCTCAAATCCCAAGAGTTATTCGTCGTTTATCTCGAGGCTGATTGGGGGAGTCGGTGAACTTTATCCTTGTACCTGCTATGCAGCACGTTCGTTTTATGAGAGAAGGTCCTTTTTCTGCTGAGCAAGCGACTTCCCAAGTTCGATGGGTGGATTCATGATTAGGTAG